TGCATGATTTTAATGTAATGATCAAGTTATTTTATGTGAGGTTTGACTTGAGAGGGGTTTCTCTGGGTAGACACTTAGTTTGGGCCTGGAGGAAAGAGTATATAAGGTTTTTATTTTAAACAAAGCCTTATAAACTTATTTTCCTCTTAAGTTTAGAGAGAAGATTCTAGTAAGATAAGCTCTGGTTTGTAGTTTCCTTCTCCTCCAAATCTTCCATTTCAATGAGATACTTCTCATTTTCTAATCATGAGTTGCTATGTTGTGATTCAAGTAGTGGAAACCTTGAATCAAGTTGTTGATCTTATGTGGGGTTCTATTTCTTTCTTCCCCCTTGGTCTCAAGCTACTCGAGGTCAAGGATGCTAGAGTTTTGCTATTAGTGAAATTATTGAGTTATAAAATGATAAATTGGTTGTGTTTTGAATGGGTTCTTTGCAATTCATGGTTTTGTTTGGATCAAATCAGAGGAGATTGAAATGAAAGTTGGGGGTTTTGGGTTATTGATGAAAAATGTGATGATTTGGGGTTTCATGTTGATTCTAAGTGTATATATGTGTTGATTGTGATGTATGTAATTCTTGTTTGATGTTGCATGTGTTGAAACTCTGTTAGATTTTAGGTTGTAACTCAAAATCAGGTTCTACATATGTAGAACTTTGATGTAACACAAGGCACGCTTTCATGATGTCAAGCGCTATTATAACTCAAGACCCTTTGTCTCAATCATGTCAAGCACAAGATCAATGGCATTGGATGTGAAGAAAGGGACTCATCTCAAGTTGACATGGTGTCGAACGTGATTTGAATGGCTTCGAGTGTAGGAACCTTGAGAGGTCCCTGACTTGGTGACATCGGGCCTTAAGTTGAGTAGTGTCCAACGTGGTCAAGCCAAACCTCTTTGCTTGAGATGGGATTGGGCGTGGTGTTTCACCATGCTAGGCACAAGGTCTCAAGAGCCTCTACCTTAGCCACACCAGGCATGGGTTGAGTAGCTTTGAGCACTGATTGCTGAACAAAAATATGTTGATGTAATTGATGAGGTGTTGAATATTTGTTGACTTAGTTGTTAAGTGAATAAATGATGAATGAGCTATAGAAATGAAATTGTATGTGTTGTTTGATTTGATGAATTGTTGCATATTGTTAATTGAGTTGCTAGTTAAAAGTTGAGAAGAGTGGTGAGTTGTGTAGTTGTGCAGCTATGTTGAGATTTTTATATGCATGATGTTGATGTGCAATTGAGATGTATGATGACTAATAAGTTGAATATGAATAATAATGATTGAATTATGAGATATAAAGTTTTATGTTGATTTCGTTATTGTATTGAATATATAAAGAGTTGTCGTGTTATGGAGATGTGATGATCATTTAGAATTAGAAAAAAGGTTCTCAAAAGTTGCATATTTCATCGTATGAATATTATGTTATGGTAATTCGAGAGTCCAGTCTAATAAAAATCCTTCTCAGATGGAAAGTTGTAATCCGTCAAACAATCACCTCATACCAGACCTTATACAGGGAAAGTAGTTACAACAACCGATATTTGAAAAATGGCCGCAACAAATAGTTGTTTGCAATAATGAAGTTTTTTTTATCCGCATATTGCTTCCTCTGGAATCGCAGTAAAATCGAAAGCTTATGGTGGGATTACAAGATGATGAAGAGAAAAAAAAAATGAATAGTAATTAACAGCTAATAGAGTATCGGAGAATATTTATTATTAATTTATCATACAAAAATAATAATAACACTCGAGTTATAATACATCTCAGTCTTTATTATACCCAAAAACAATACAGTAGATCACACAGTAGTCATCATACGCTAATGACTAATGGACAACAATAAAAATTTACATCAATAATTGGCCAAAACAATTTTGGCCATCTCTCTAGGGGTCTCCTAGCTCCACATAACCATACCCGTCGACATCAACAACATAACCATCCAATGTAACTTTCCTGAGAGGACTGAGGCTGAGTTTCCTGGAACAAATTAGCACCCCTTCAGAATTCAGATTTCTACAAACTTATCTGTTTTTCATTTTCCTTTTCAAATATTAACATTTTCTGACACGACTTGCAAATTAAACATTAGTAATAGCTAGCAAGAAAAGTATAAGATGAATAGAGGAGATAGGTGATGAGTCCAATCTCACCTTCACTACTGTTATCACTGGTTGATTTTCCAACTTCGATGCCAAGTTTGGAACAATCAGATCCAATAGTACCTTCAAAGTACAACAAAAAAAGTTGACTTTAATCAACATTCTGTTACCCTTGTGAAGAAAGAAAAAAAGGGTCTTGGATCCTTACATTCACTGTAACAAGGATAAACGGAGATGTTGAGAAGATTATAGAAATTGGGTTGGCACTGGCAACTGTGTGTATATGTTTTGTTCTTCACGCATTTACCTTCCCCACAGTAGGCCCAATAGCAAGCTATATCATCATATATTTTTATTTCATCAGAAATTAATTGATTAATAATATGAACTATGAAACTTAGTCTATAATAATTACTAAGCACGTTTAATTACTTACGATCAAAAGCTGACAAGTTGTGTGGAACACTCTTCTCTGGAACTGGCGGTGGTGCTGGCTGACATCCACCATAGTTGAGGCTACCTGCACATGATGTTAAATTAATTAATTAGTTTTAGGCCTTCATCAATCATATTCTAATTTTTGACTAAGAGAAAGAAATTTACAATTGGGAAGGACACATGGAAGAAAGCTATTAGCATATTCATCGTCATCATTGTCTTGGGTTCGCTTCCAGCCAGAGTCGCATTCACAAATGTAGTTCAATGGGTAACTTGTGTTCGCTACGCACGTTCCCTTCCCACATTCAACTTCTTTACAAACCTTTCCTGTAATATGGAATATCCTTAATAATTATGTCAACACTTTAACTTCTAACTCTCTCTAACGCATTAGATAAAAATAAAATATAGACACACAAAAAGAAAAAAATGAAATAAGTTGGTTACCGAGGATATCATCAACAATATCCCCTTTGGCAGCCATGGGTAGCAGCACAATGAGAAGCATGGCCATAAGACCCAACAACTTGGAGGAACCCATTTGGTATATGATTTGAACAATAAAAGAGAGACTTGAAGAGGGGAAATTAAGTAATTAAGAGTGTATGATGCATGGAAGAACTTGGGTTTGGTCCTTATAAATGATATTTGTGATGCATGTTACTGTTTTAGGATAGTTACACCCGTGGATTTTCGTTATACAAGTTTATTATTATATACTTGTTTTATTCATATCCTACGCTACGCGTACACCGGAGTTTTGAATTAGAAATAGGTTTCTCATGTTTCGTGGGCAACATAAAACAATTATATTACAGCGCCAATTTTCTTCTCCTGCTGCCCCGTATTCGAAGAAATTTAAGTTTGTCGTTGCATCTAGAAGAGTGAATAAGTCTGCAAAGGAACCTTCTTTCTACTAAACAATAATGCAGGTATTAGTCAAAATAGAGGAAAAACTGCACAAACTAACTACGCCATACATTGACATAAATGGTTCAAATTATTTTAACTACATTTAATTTTAGCTATTCATTACGACTGTAGGATGAAAAATCATTCCTTCATTAATAAATGTTCAAGTATGGAGGCTTAACTAAGATTGTTTTAAATTATAGAGACGAGCAAAAATAAGTTTTAAATTTGAGTAATTAAAAATAAATTTGTGTTATAATCTCGATTAATTCTTAACAAATCAATATTAATAGTTTCTATAAATTGTTATAACTACAAAATAAATAAATTATGAATCTAGTAAATTTCTTGAACTCAACCTATCTAAATTTTATAACATGTTGTGATGTGAACACAAAGATGCATAGCCTTCATGATGGCACTGATGGTGTCTTTGAGAATTTTGATGAACCTCTAAAGATGGTACTCACTAGGTCTCTAATGTCAAAGTAAGTGTTTGAATGAGTAATTTGTGAAATTGAGGAATAAATGCATACCAATGTGGAAAAAACCCTTTATGTAAAAGATATTTGATGAGAAAAGTCATTAAATTCAATTATCTCACTGAGATTTCAAGTGGCATAAAAGAACTAAGTACAAGTATATTTGTCTTATGAAGTCCACAATTTATTATATCTTAATTTGTGTGTTTAAACTTGATTGTCAATTGTTAGATTAAATATAGTCATCATAACAAACACTTTTTAAGAGATCAATTGTTATTATAGGACAACATATACTTTCGATGAAAAAAATCAAAACAAATTGAAGTAATCTGAAAACAATTGTCTCAAATCATTATTACTTTACAAATTTAACGTGTTAAGAGTTTGAAAGTCAAGATAACCTAAAACAATTGCACCTGTTTAACGTTATTTCGCCAAGTAACATTACCTTAAGAGATTGAAAATCAAAATAACTCTTAAAACAGTTGCCCTAAATCGATATAACTTGATAGACATAAGAACAATTTATTGTAAAAAAAGATAAGAACAACTTGAGAGATTAAAAACCGAAATAACCGTCCAAACATAAAATAAAAATAAATAAATAATAGCGACAAGTGACGGGATGAAAGTGAGTGACACATTTAGTAAAATAATTTTGATGCGTATGTTGAACATTCTTTTTGATGAAGTCCGTGTTCAACATTAAGTTGTAGATAGTGAATGGAAGTTCAATGGGAGGGTTGACCATCTTTCCCTTATTTTAGTTATAGTATGATATGCGCATCTTTGGCCAAGCCACGTTTGACACGCGCATGTTCTACACAACTCACAAATCACAATAAATTACCGTCACGCCAGGTGGAGAATCTCAACTCTAAATGCCACGCATGTACACGACGGATATGTATGCAAATAGTTTACTAGCCGGTGCATCACATCACATGGACACCATACTAGAGCTGTCAAAATGGGTTTGCCCTGGTGAGCTAACCCGGCTCACCACGGGTTCGAGCCGGGTTGGGTTAAAAAAAATTTAAAAATTTCAATGCAGGTCAAATTTGAACCCGGCTCACTAACAACCCGACTCACCCGGGTTGAACCCGTGGTGAGCCGGGTTGGCCCACCAACCCGTGATTAAATTTTTTTATAAAAAAATACAATAATTATTGGGTCATGGTGCAGTCCAACATGAGACAATAATAATTTAATGTTGGATTGTGATTTGTAATTTTTATGATTTTGGATTGTATTTGAAGTTTAAGATGATTTTGGATTATATTTGAAGTTTAAGATGATTTTGGATTATATTTACCTATTTGAGATTATTTAGATTTGATTTGATTGTATTTAAAATTATCATTTAATGTTTGGGATGAATGATTCATTTATAGATATCTTAGTTAAGAATCTCAGATTTTTAAAATAAGTTTAAATTTTTGGGCTTTAGTTGTATATTAAGAAAAAAAATAAAAAAAAATTATTTTTTTTAAAGGTGAGCCAACCCGTTTAACCCACCAACCCATGGTGGGCTGAGCCGGGCTCGATTTTTTTGAGCTCACTAATAAATGAGCCGGGTTGGATTGGTCCACCAAATGGTTAACCCGTAGTGGGTCGGGCCGGGTAGCCCGTTTTGACAGCTCTACACCATACTATTCATTTATTATTCAAATGTGCCTATTATATATATAAAGTATTTTTGTTCTTCTATGTAAATTTGCTCAAATATGTTGAAAGATGAATTTAATTATGCGTTAAATATAAATTTCTCTGAGTATTTTTATGAAAACAATTTATCTCCATATGTTAGTGTATATATATATAATCTCAATACAATAAAATATTTATAAAATTAGTTTTGTTATAAAAAAAATTTAAGTAAGAAAATAAATGCATTTATATTAAAATTATTATAACAATAAATTTAAAAAGTCATATAATTTTATTTTAACAATTTGAATGTTAACATGATTTTAAGTAAATTATTTATTCTCATAAGTTACGTGTAAATTATGAAATTTTCCTACTTGCTTAATTTTATAATGAATATAAATACTCAAACATGACTAAATGACTTGAACATGAAATAATATAAGGTTATTAACAAATACAAGGTGATTCAAAACAAGTTCATTTCTAATTAATCAAATTGATTTCCGACAATATGTAGACACAACTACATCGATAATATCAAAAAGGCACTCCAAGTATAATGTGAATAAGTAAGACGATAAAGGGTTACCTTATCAAATCCCTCTAGAGGGAGTGAATTCATCCAACATTTCTCCATTCCACAACATTCTCATCTTGGAGGTTAATATGCAAGCCCAAACCAAATCTAGGAATGAGTGGACAACCTAATATCATGAAGAGTATCCTTAATGAAACTCCGCTTTCTCCAAGTTTATTTTAACAACCATCCTTACTTGTTTCCCCCTCTTGGAATGCATGGTATGCCCCACCTCTTAAGTTATGATAATATTATCACTATTATGCTTACAAGGGATAAAGTTGCACTAGTCAGGGCTAACCAACTCTTCCATAACTGAACAAAGTTGATGAGCCAACACTTTAGAAAGCACCTTACAGGAAACATTGCACAAGTAAAAACTAGAATTTTCTTCTTTAGGAATATGTCTTGGAATGTGAAAACCCAAATAAAATCTATGCTTGGATATCATAGAACAAATAATTTAGGTAAATATGTGACCAACTCACCTCTAGAAGTTGATCCACTAACAGTTTGATACAAGGAGAACTTAATTTACTCTAAGAATAAATTTACTTAGACTTATTTCACCCAATAACTCATATTATATATCAAATTTCAACAATCTTACTATTAAATTAAAAATTCTTAATATATCAATCAAGTTCATAAATTTTTAAGTTTCAAAATTATTTTATACTTCATTTCATTAATTTGAATCAACATATAAAATGTTTATATGATTATCCGTTAATTTGAATTAATCAACCAAAGTATCAAATAATTTTCAAATTTTATAAAAACTTGCAGACTTAATTTATACATTAAGAGTTTTTAATTCAACAATTAGATTGCACAAATTCGATGTAAAACATGAGTTATTAAGTGAAATAAATCTATATTAACTTACTCTTTAAATAAGTTAACCCCTCATCTATACATATATATATATATATATATATATATATATATATATTTAAGGGAAAAGTTTTATACATATAAAAAGATCCTAGTATCATTTTTAAAAATAATATATATATATATATATATATATATGTATATTCTCATTTATTTTATTTAAATTCACTTATAACTCAGAAAAAACCTTTTATGTAAAATCTCTCGATGGATTGTTCGAAGTTCTAAATGAAAACCTTTTCTTAACATATTTTTCATCATATGCAAAAAAAAAAAAATAGTATAATCATTCTTAAATTTTAATTCATAAAATCACACAAGGATAGGCTTTTTTTACAACTACATTCTAGGTCCAAAATAGATCGGGTTGAAACACTTTACATATCTTCTGAAAAAAAAAAAAAACTTTAGATAACACTTGCAATACAAATATTTAAAAATATAAATCATGTCAGTTCAAATTCAATTCCGCCTAAAATCAACTTTGTAAATTTAATTTTGCAAACACTCACCCAATCACACATAAATGAAATAGGTGAGTAGTTCACACTGTACATGTTTAGTTCTACCTCATACACAAATGAGATCCACGTTAAACTTTAAGCAACCCGCATAAGTTCTTACATTTTTTAGCGGATTTAACGCAAAATTAATTTTTCACATTTTGTGATGAAAAAAAATCTAAAACTCTGATTCAAAATTATCTTGATTCAGACCTGTAAGAAATTGTCAAATCATTTAACTCTTCACCCATTCCAATATAAAGGATTAATTAATCAGATAATAGATAATAAATGGATTAGTTTAAAAATAAATGAATTACTTGTGGTAGAATATTATTCACGTCAAACATCATAATAAGATTTACAAATCTTTTTATGATATAATTGAGGGTAAAGTGGGAAGATTTCATGAAATTCTGTTTGAAAAAGAAGTTGAATATTTGGAACATTCTGTCACAATTCTCTTTTAACATAGTTATTATCTATACAACTATTCTACGATTAAGAAGCGATTGCCTTGTGTATATATTATATATAACATTACTATAAATGTAATATACATTTGAGTTCTCTCCAATGACTGCATGCCAGTTTTATATACTCCATTTTGATATCTATGTATGTATCTGAAAATCAATAAATTAATCGGGAATTCTTCCGTTTCCACCCTTGCCTTCTTAGATTTTGCTTATAAAATTAATTTTCTCCGTTGAATGGAATCCAACATTTTTCAGTAACGTTGGGAGGGAAGAGGATCGTTAACCATCAAAACTAACATTAAGAAAACGTTTGCTACTAAGAATATTTTTATTTTATTAAAAATCTTAAATTGAGAATCTTTATTTTTTATTTTATAATTATTTAAAACAAATCTCAAAAATATACTATTTTGGGATATTTTTCTTATTTTTTTTACAAAAACATTTTTATAAAGAGATAAAAATCCAACTTTCCAATTTAGGAAAAACAAATTGATGTATATAAAAAAATCATATATCCTTTTTCAAAATTATATGTGTGTTTTTTTCCTTCTACTTCTCTTTCTTCCTTTCTTTCTCAATCTCACTCCTTCTATTTCTCTTTCTTCCCCTCTTTCTCACTCTCCGTCTCAGTCTCGGTCTCTCTCACTCTCACTCCCCCTCTCTCTTTCTCTCTCCCTCTCATTTCTATTTATTTTTTCTTATATCTTATTATTTCTTGATCTTATTAATTTTAATATTATTAAAATATATTTTATTTTTACATTTTAATAATATTTGTTAACACTTTTTATTTTTTATTTTTATTTAAATAAAATAAAATAATATTTTTATTTTTGTTAATCATAATGTAACATTTTTTATTTTTTTTACCAAATTCTATATTTAAATAATTTTAA